CAATTAAAAATACCGAGTCTAACCGAAATTAGATAGCCTCCTTACTTGTCCACTCTTAATCTCCCGCTACACTGAAATCTGATTCCCGCCAAACGTAGAAAGATTATTCGAAGCTTTTGTACGCGACGCGATTGAAACTCTACTGTCTCTCTCTCTACTTGTCTTCTTCTCGTTGATTTTGCGTTTTTCGTTCCTGGGTTTGCTAAGCTAGATCCATTTCCTTCTCTTCGACCACAGTGATTACAACAGATTTGTGAATCTTCTTCGGGAAATTGGGGTGTTCGGGGAATTTCATTTACTTCCAGTTCGTAGAAATCGGAAGGGATCTTGATCTTCCAGGAATCACACGAAATCTAGCCAGGTAAACTCGAGATCATATCACAAATCAGAAACAAGGGCTCTTTCCTTACTGTACTCGGTTTTCCTTTACAGGCTATCCTCATAAACTGCGAAATTTGATCATTGGATCAACTAGATGTTTATAGTTTAGAGTTTTTCTTGGTGATTCATGATGTTGCTGAGATTGGAATTGGGAGATTTGCTAGGATATACGGCGGAATTCCTGTAGACAAGGTGTTTGATTAAATGTCTACAAGAGATGATTATCCACCCTTTAATTTTGGGCTTATTGAGACGAGCTAGATTGTATTCCCTCCCAACAATTTTGCAACTTTCAAAGATGTTCTTTAGATTTTAGATGGTTTTGCATTTTGTCTCTAACTTGATCAAGGTTTCTCTGCCTTCTTTGTACTTCCTGTGTATCATATACCACTTGGTAGTAATCTTATACGAGAATTCGTTGGTCTCTTCTCTCTTTTAAAACAGTCGTTTGTTTTTTCCATTTAGGTCCAATAAACTGAGATTTCTTGAGTTGCATCCATGGCTGGCCAGAGTGATCCTCATATCTCACTATTTTCTCCACAAGAGGTCCTTCTTCTCCTCTTTATTTGTATGTGTTTCTTCGTGTACTGTCTGCAATGTTGTAATTGATTAGTATGTCATTCCAGGTTGAGTTTATGGCAGAGGACGAAATGGTGGAGATTGTTCCCAATATGAACATGGATACACTCAATTTCATCAGTGTAATCTCTCCTGTTTTATACAATATCTCTGATATCACTGCCATCTAAACCTTTTCTTCAACCATGTGATTAAATTTGTGAAACGGTGACAGGGGAATTTTGGTAGGTTCGTTCCTCAGATTCCGACACAAGTGCCTCTGTGGCTTGCAGTGGCACTGAAGAGGAGAGGAAAATGCAATTTCCGGCCTCCAGTGTGGATGTCTGTTGGTAAGACAACAACAAAAAAGTGCACATTTAGCAGATAAATTTTATCTGTTTAAGGAAAATTACATGCTCAAGTGTTAACTGTTTCTTGTTGCTTCTTTGTTTGTGAGCTAGACAATTTGACTCAGGTCTTGGAAGCAGAACGGGAATCTCAGTCGACATTTCAGCCATTACCATTTAGCTATGTGGAGATTGCTAGACTACTTTTTGACCAGTAGGTTTCTAGACCCTGCTTGTTTCGTTGCTCCCCTTTGCATTTAATAGTATCTAAGGGTGCTGATGAGTATTTGAATATCTCACTTTTCGGCAGTGCACGTGACGATATTCCAGACATGTATATGGTAATTTCAAACATCTGTTGGAATTTGTCTCCCATTATTTGTCACAACCATGTGTTTGAATTCTTTAAGCGTTTTGAGACATTCATGAATCATGTGTAGGTGAGATCTCTAGTCGAGGATATCAGAGATGTGCGGCTTCACAAACTCGAGACTAACTTGGGATCATTTCAAGGTACATCTGCAGTAAAGGTAAACTGTTTTTATTGCTTCTTCTGAGTTACCTTTTTCTCATTATTGGTGCTTTTTGTTCCTATTCTATGAATGACATTGGAAGATTTGGTCATATGAATTATAGTAGTAACCGTAACCGTAATTTGAGAATGCAGGTCTCTAATGTATCAGCAATGGAAGTGAACCTAGTCCGCCCGTTTGTGAGAAGAGCCTTGGAAGCATTTTATAAGCATGACAAGCCAGAACCTGAGGTAAACAGAGGCACGAGAAGTAGTAGACAACAGCGTGAAGCCAACAATGAACCAAGGGTAAGGCTCTTCACACTGTTCACTCATTTTCTTTTTCCTTTTCAAGAATAAACAAATCCAAACCTCAACGCGTGTTTTACAGAGACCTCTAAGGCAACGCTAAGAAGCATCTATGTCCTTGTCTAAGAAGTGAGAAGTCAGGTATCTTCTATTGCCAATATTAATGGAGCTCCTGAGAAGTGAGAACACGAACAGCATCCATCTCTGTTTCTTAATAGATGCCTTGTTTCCTGCACTACTACTACATTCCCTTTTGGTATTAAGCATCTTTGCATCTACTAATACTGAATGGATTTGGATTCTGGTGTGACTAAATGTACACTTTAATTCAGTTATGAATAGAAACTAGATAGATGAAAAATGAGTTTATTTGGGTGCAAATGGTCACAAAATTTGTGAACATTAAGATTGATCCCATATTGTTTCATATCATGTTTGTGGGCTAAACCAATGTCAGCAATATCGATCATCACCCAATCTATTTGAAAACCATAGTGCAATGCAATGATCTAAATATAAAAAAGGATCAAATATTAAAATTGAACGAATGAAGAACTTGAATCTCTATGGTTCTGTTTTTCAAGGATTGATATACTTTTAGATACTTCAAAAAATCGCTTATGTTAAACACTAAAACCCTCAGGGTGTAAATGGATATCTCTTTTTATAAATAGAATGCACCATTGCACTTATTCTACACAAAAATTTACCATTTATGATCAAAGGAATGGAATGAACATTCCACTTATCCCACACAAAAATAGTCTATTCCACACAAAAATACAAAGGAAAGTATCCCTCTACAATTTTGATGAAGAATGAATGGGATAGAAGATTTATTCCATTATTTTTTTTATTCCGCTCATCCGTATTCCATTAACGTACATTCCATCAATTCCTAAAAGACTTACCATTTTAGACCCTCAATAGTAAATGTCATTGTGATGCTTTGTTTCGTCGGTCGTTTCAGTTTTAAAACAATATTACATTTTAGGCCCATTTTATGCGATATATTAAAATCAGACAAAACGCAAGCCCATTAAGGCCCATTAGTTACTCTTGAAGAACAAAGATTCCTTTTGTTTCGGAGAGAACAAGAACCAGAGGAGCCCTAATATCTCATCTCATGGGCTCGAACAATTTCTTCCGCGGTATTGCTTACCAGTTTTCTCGCTGCCGTTTCTCCGTTCCGTCGGCTGCTGGGCTTCGGTCTTACTCTTCTCTATTGACGAGATCTTTATTGATGCGAAGGAGTTTTTCAAACGTTCAAGTTTGTTGATTCTTTATTGGGTGAGGCTGCGAAGGTTCTTCTAGTTTTCTTGCAAAGGTTCAAGTTTGTCGGTGTCATCGCCCGTGTGGAATCTGCGGTTGCGTCAATCACGATGATGGATTT